TCCCGAAAAGTCCCGAAAACTCCCGAAAAGTCCCGAATGCTCCCGATTATGAGAAAAATAGTCCCGAAAACGCACTTTTGCCACGAAAAACCCCTATAATCATCGTTTTTTCTTCAAATATTTTAATGAAATGTTAAATAAATACCAAAAACTGTTATAAAGTTCAAATAATGTGTGATAAAGGAACTATATAAAATTAAAACTCAAAATATGTGACAATCCATTTCATGCTATTTTAAAATTATACTTATCTCCGTTGAAGGCGAGCGTTCTTTTTCTCAATTTAAGAATATTATTACAGATAGAAGACATAAATTTACAGAAGAGTCTCAAATTTCATGTTATTATCAAATATAATTCATTTTTAAATGCATAATTATTGTTTTAATGTCAAAATGAAGTAAATTTTAACTCCCGATTTTTTCCCGAATTTGACTGTTTTATGTTCCCGAATCCCGCCCGAATTTAGGTGTTTTTACTCCCGAAAAATAGAGACTCTATTTATAACAATATATCGATTAACGCCTAACAAAAATAGAAACAGAATTTTATTATATTTATTGCAGGGTTTGTGCAGAATTTGCATAATATATTTATGCGTGACTTTAGTTCGTCCAAAATGAATTTTAAACAAATCACTTAAACATTTATAAATAATATGTTAAACAGTATTAATAGAAAACAAAACAAACAGATATTTCTTATATGTGTTTCTAAATGAATGATACAAATAGAAGGCAAACATATTTTGACAATAATTCATAAGAAATGTCTGTTTTCTATGGAAACAGTTCTTACCATTAAACTCGTGGTTAGCTTTCAAGACATAAGTGTTTATTTGTTTAGTATAACTGAAGAGACGGACAAAATCTATTTCCCAAAAACAATACCTCAAAATATAACTTGTGATCAATTTTATGACTAACTTACCATAAATTGTAAGGCATTAATGGCATTATTGCAGACAAAATCCATATCAATTCCCAACCAAATCGGTTGCCATAACTTACTTATAAATTAGTATAACAATTATCAACGATTCAGTGATATTATGATTATTAGTGTATTTCTTCTTATTATAAATCACATCAATTTAAATACAAGACTAAAAGTAATTAAACTCTTCAAAGCCTTAGCGCATATTCCGATTACATTAATATTTATATAACTGCAAACAGACTAATCATTCAAATGGTTTAAATTGTAAACGACATAAAAATGCAAACTATGTGTAAATATCTATTTAAAGCTAGTTTTGGTAATAATTTAGATTTCATTTTATTACTATATTTAACTAATTACTGTATAACTCGTGATTAAAAACTTTAAAATATGCTAATTCTTAGTTAAAAAGCAAAAATTTGCATCAATTCACTGATTCTTTATTCAAATAAATATTTATGATTACAAACCAGTTGTCGACCAAAAGAATACTTTATAAACATTTTCGTTGAGTTAAACAAAACAATAATTTATTTTTAAAAGCAATTGTAATGAAAAACAAATATAAATTTCAATTTCATGTGATGTTTGAGTCAATAAACTGATTATAAAAATACATTTACGAGCGAAAAGAGACTTTAAAACATAGCACTTATTTTCTCCTATTTTTAAGCTTAGGTTTGGATCTTCTTGTTGTGGAAAACTTGAAAGTCTTCAACGGATCGGCATTTTTATCCTTCTTCTTATTCAAGTGTTTCGGTCGGCGTTTCCTTTTGGGAGTATAGCTAAGGCTCGCCTCCTCTTCCAAGCGCTTGTTGGAGCCCTTCTTCGCCTTAACCATCGCCTGAAGAGTGGGCGGAACGATATACTCGGGAACGTCTCGCAAATGCTGTTTGTGTTTAACGGTGTGGAGCGCGCGGTCGTGTCGGAGCACCTTCTGGTCCTTCGGGTTGGCCTCGAAATAGCTCTTCAACTGTTGAGACGTCAGTATTTCGCGTTTGATTTCCTTAATCCTGGCCTCGCGTATGGCTATTGTGGTGACGGCTCGGAGGGCGTCGCGCGACCGGTACTTAAACGCCTCCAACTCTTCCATTTTGAACTGATAGGGCTTGAAGTTCGCCGAAGCGCTGAACGACTCGCGCACTGTCCGGAAGTACTCCTTCTCGTGCGCACCGATCAGCGAGAGTACAGTGCCTTCGCCGGAGTCGTGCCCTCTCGCCACTCGCCCGACGCGATGCGTGTATGACGTGACGGACGTCGGAAAGTCAAAGTTAATCACATTCGACACGTACTTGAAGTCTATGCCTCGGGAGACGCCGTACTCCTCGTCCGGCCGTCGCTTAGAAGACTTGCCCTTTCGGTCGTTGCGCTGTCGGGCGTCCGAACAGCACTTCTCATCGCTCGCTATAATGATGTCATAGACACCCGAATTGAACTGTTGGACAACAAAACAACGGCTCCCGACGGGCAGTTCGCTGTTCAATATACACGCGCGGACACCGAACTGCTCGAGGAATAGTTTCAGACGATAACATCTGTCCACCGATGAGACAAAAATGATTGTTTTGCCGCGAATCAGACCTAATTTGAACAACGAGTTGACTAACACGAACTTCTCCTCCTCTTCGTCGCACTCGATGTGGTACTGAAGCAATTGGTCCGACTCCGGCAGCTCTGGCTCTTCCAGTTTCAGTACCACCGGATTGTGAAGACACAACTTCTTCAGATTCTTCACCTCCGGGTTAAGTGTGGCCGACATTAGGAACGACTGGCAGCCGATTGTGGGCACGGATTGCAGCACTCGTTGTAAGTCCTGTTCGTAGCCGAAGGAGAACATGAGGTCCGACTCGTCAATCACCAGATACTTGAGCTCCTGTTTGAGTCGCGGCAAGTGTTTGGCCTCGATATGCATCAGCACACGGCTCGGCGTTCCGACCACTATATCGGGCGTTTCGGCGGTCATTACGCCCCGCATATCGTCCACTCGACCGGTGCTGATGTCCAACACTGTTATCTCACGCGAACAGAAAGCCGTCAACTGTTGGAAGTGTTGCGTCAACTGATGGCACAGCTCTTTGGTCGGCGACAACACCAGCGCCCGGACGTGTCTGGCGTTCATGTGATGATCACCGCTGCCGTCATCCGTGTCTTTCGTGGCCAACAGTCCGTTGAGTATCGGCAGCGCAAATGCGGCCGACTTTCCCGTTCCGGTCCGCGCTTTGGCTAATATATCGTTGCCCTCCAGTGCCAGAGGAATGGCCTTCTCCTGGATCAGTGTCGGTGACGGCCAACCCATGCCGTCGATGGCCCGCAGGAGTCGCGAATCCAAACCCATTTCGCTGAACGCCACGAAAGCGCTGTTGTCCTCGTCTTCGGCCATCACTTTGGGTCCAATTGGGAGACAATTGTCGGTAATATTTGGTCACAAAATGGCAAATAAGGGATAGATTTGTGAAAACAATTCAATAATAAAAACACATGTGTTTTGTGTGTGTTTTAAATGGCAAACAACACAACGCATGCGCCAAACAATTGACCGCTTTTTTTAAAACTAACATTTATTTATAAAATATAAAACATTTAATTCTAATATTAATTACAATTTGACTTAAATACACAAAATTATTATAAAAACCTTTTAATTAAAAACATATTTATAGAGAGATATCAGAAATGATGGCCTTTTTGGGCCATTTATTCATTTCGCTTAACTTCTTGTACGATACGATTCCACCGATTCTGAAGTGACCGGACCTCCTCTTTCAGCGCCTGCTTTTCGGTCATCAATGTCTGGTTATTGTCAGATAGTGTCCGCACCCTCTCCTCCAACTCATTGATCCGAACCATAAGACCAGTCATCAGGTGTCTCACGTCGGCGGCCGTGGTCTCCAACCCGTTCAACACGCCTTCGCAGCACTTCTTAATGTCCGGATAGTTATTATTATTGTTCATATTGTTGGCCATCAAAAACTTGGGATGGATTCAAATGATTTAAGGCAAAACAATTACAAATGAATTGCAATAAGAAATGAACAAATGGTGTGAAATGTGAGTGAAATGTACGCCAAATGCAAATCAAAACATGTCATGAAATGCGCCAAACATTGAAACAAACTAAACAATAGTATAAATGGTTTGAACCGATCAGTAAATCAGTTATCAGTGATAATCACGACTAACCAATAGTCCATTTAATATAACACAACTAATAATCATATACTTAAAACCAAATCCCTCTAAACTCTTACAATAATTCAGTAAATATTTCTAAACATTTCTGAACTTTTTGTAAAAACTTATTTTTCCTAAAAATATAAAACAATTATTGTATTTATCTGTTGCAATATCTGACCGATTGTCACAATCTGTTATCAATTATATTTAAATTTTAACTTTTAGTCCAAATATCCTAAAAATTAGTACTTTTTAAAACACTTGAATTTAATTAGAATTTTAAATCAATTTTTCTAAATATAAAATTATAGCTAAATATTTATGAGAAAGATATTCAAATACAAAAATAACATAAAAACTGTGTTTAAAGTGTAAGTCCTTTACATTTCATTTACTAATTGAATTCAACATTTAATATCAGATTTAGAAATACATCAATTATTTGTAAGTTTTAAGTAACTTTAATCACAATTTAAAATCATATAATTATAAAGTAATTGCATTTCATTACACCGTTTCCTTAAATACTGTGCAATAAGTGTTCGTAACTTTAATCCTCTTATTTTAAGCATTAATATCTCGTTATAAAAACGGATTTAATTGAATCGTAAATCTTATTTCATTGTTTGTTATATGATATACAATACACTAATCGTAATCATAAATAATAACAAGGTTTCCGACTGAGAAAAAGTTCAATTTGTTTGGTTCAGCGCTTATATTAAATTAAATTAAATATACAATTAATATAGAGTGCAGTGTATAGTAATAAACGCCAGAATTTACTGTATTTTTTCTCATTCATTAAATACTGGTTTTTCTATATTTAATATTTAAGTCAGAATTTGTTTTCCTAACAAAACCACATAAAAGTAAGCATAAAATGTAAGTTTGTTTAAAGATTTATATATCTTTGGCCTCAAAAAAGAGGTTTTAAAACTTTCTTTGCATAAGTTTTTTGTTGTTGTAAAGTGTTTTCAGTGAGTGTTTGCATAATAAATAAATTAATGACATAATGTTGTTATCAAATACATCTCTCGCTTAACTGTATTTATATTTTGGGTACAAAAATATTTACATTTTTCAAAAGTGAAAAGTTTGTACAAAAATGTGCACAAAATCCATAAAAGGATATTCGTATGCAATGGGAGTCACAGCAAACACAGCAAACATTACCAGCAAAATAAAGTCTTCGACACATTTGCTGACAATTTCTGAGTCTATGGCATAGGAAAGGACTGCAATGCAATGCAATGCAATGCGCGGTCTATTGCGGTATTTTCAGTGCAGTCTACCAGTGCTGCTCTGCTCGTGAATGTACATCACTTGCAACATCATTACAGCTCCGGTACTCTCTCTCTCTCTCTCTCCCAACTGAGGGCTCATTGTATGAAAACTGAAGCGTTATTCTCAATGAGAATATATTGTCAGTCACTGTATGTGTTATAAGGAGAGGAGAGGCAACACAAAAAGCAAATATATTGTATGCTTTGGGAACTCAAACGTCAGTTCAGTTCCCATTGAATACCAGTGAGAAGAGTGAGAGTGTGTTGTTTACAGTGAGTATACTTTGGATGTTGTGTTCACTGTATTGTAGTATCTCTTCATATCTCAAATGAATATAACATTGAAAACAAGAATTTTTTAATTTTAGCTCAAAAATGTTGTTCACTGTCGATGTGTTTGAATGAAAAGTGCTTTATTTTATGCCAATCGGCGCGAAGTGGAGAGAAATCCTTGAAAACATTAAACAAACTATAATTATAAATGTGTTTATAAGGGTTGAGGCATAACATGACACGAGTCTCAGTCGCAACATATTTAAAGAGACGATTGCTGTGATTGTATACATTGTATGAGACAATCGCATCCATTTCACAGGTACTCTATGTCTGTATAACTAATTCATACATTTTTATTACTATTATTAGCGGTAATTGCGGGCGAAAAACCAATTCTTGTGTTTGTGTTTCATATCTCGATTGCTATACTGTTATAGTCTGTGAGAAACCTCTTGTGTTTCTGCGCGCAGTTGTGTTGTCTGTCAACGACTCAACTAATATTGTTTTTATATAATTGTTTTTTATTATTATTAAAGTAATTGTATATATAATTGAGGAAAAAATTAATTATAATTATTGTCATGACATCTAAAACACATGCGTATGTCTTATACATGTATTTCTTGTAGATATATCGCAGGTCTGGTCTAAACTGACTATTCGTTGGACTACTGTCTCACTACTCGACTTCACACATATTTTTGAAGACAACTAAAAAATTGATACAAAAAGTGTTTAAAACGTTCACTTTTGGTGTGTTGTCCACAATTGGACACAAATAATATGCAAACAGACAAACAAAGTGTGTCCAAAGAGGAAAGGGAGGAACTGGTCAAACGATTAACACCACTTCAATATCGTGTAACTCAGCATAAAATCACTGAAAGGTATGAGAATATTATATATGTATTGATTGTTTGAGCGCTTAATTATTAATGAATAGATTATGTATTGTATGTATTGTCTGATCGCATGACTTGTACTGAAAGAGAAAATTCTTAATTCAATTATTCTGTGATATATAAGGAGTACTCTATTATGCGGTTTATATTTCCTATGCATTACTCCAACATTTATTCATTTATTAAAATATACAAAATAATGGCATTTGTTATTTAATTATATGTGTTGTGTGTTTTGTAGGCCTTTTACCGGTGAATACCTGAAACTCAATGATAACGGTCTGTACTGTTGTGTGGTTTGTGGGGAAGAGATATTCTCATCGGAATCCAAGTACGAGAGCGGCTGCGGATGGCCCGCCTTCGATGGTGTGATCAATAATGATAAAGTCAAACACAATATCGACTTATCGCACGGTATGTCTCCCCCTCTCTATCACCTGTCAATCTGTCTGTCACTGAAATACCAAACATGATATGTGTATAACACAAAACATACCTGATATACACGATAAATATCATAAACAAACATAACCTACATTTCATATTAAATACCAGTGCCTTATCAGTGCTCTTATTATCGCACAAACAATTTATTAAATATCACACATAAAACATAATAAAACAATAGCACTTCCAAAACACTTATCAAAACTATGCATTCACATTGTGTTCCGGTATATACAGTACACTATATTTAAAACTTTATATAACTCATTGTGTATTATTTGTGTCCCAATTGAAAACTGGTGTGAAAACAGTGGGCAGTAATCTACTATTGTTGGCGTTGAGGTCGGACGTGGCCCGCACTGAGGTGTCCTGTGCCCGATGTGGTGCACACTTGGGTCACGTGTTCGATGACGGCCCGAAGACCACCGGCAAACGGTATTGCGTTAACTCGGCTGCCCTTAAGTTCCTCGACGGCCAAAAACCGTCGCCCAAAAGTATGACAAACAACGGCCGCACCTTTGATACAACTATGGGTACAAAAATTGATACAAAGCCAAGAATCTCAACTAATAATTATTGCAATAATAACGTGAATAACAGTAATAACAACAATAATAATAACGATAAGTTTGTTAAGAAGAGTCTCAATGGGTTTACGCATAAAACATTGATGGAAACACATCTCTAATAATTTAATCCTATGATTATCACTACCCAAACGACATCTCCATATATGATATCTACTATATGTCAGTCAATATTTCAAACTACATATTCTTTTGCATCGCTTTCTACGGGAAACTGATTCTGTGAATGAAGAGCTTCTTCTATATAATGTGTGCCACAAATGTCTATCAAAAGTAATGTCAAAACAAATTGTTTTCCAAACAAAGCGAAAATAATTTAATCATTTAATTGAATTAAATGTCTTCGCATATAATATACAGTATATTTTGAGACTTAATTTATAAAACGGTCTGTTATTGCAGTTAATGTCAGAATTTTATTGAGAGAATCACTTATTTATTGATATATTTATAGATTTTTGTTTTTTGATGTCATTATATATAAATCGCTGTGAGAGAGCGGCCAGAGTTTGACCAATCATTGAGATTATCATTTATTTTTGCATTTAAAACACGTATTTATTTATCAATTATTTTCTATTTTACTGTATTATTATTATTATAGCTTTTGTTTAATTATTAATTTGTTCTTCAATTAGTTTACGTTAAAATATATTATTATATATTGTTTTTTATAGTTTAGTTTTTGAAACAAATGTTAAGTTAGTTTTTAGTTTTATGAAATAATTTTTTGGGCAGTTATTTATTGTGTTGTTTTTTGAGTTAATATATACGCTAAACACTAAATTTATAACAATTTATATATAAGTGATTGATTAATGCGTTAAAAATAATTTAAAATCAAGTTTTCTTTGACGTAAAAGAAGAAATTTTTCAGTGATTTTATCGCATAAATAATTATCACAAAATGATTTGATATCACATTTTGCTAAAGGAAACAAAGAGAAAAGGGTTTTGGAATTAATAATCATTTTTGACGTCAAATTTTAGGTAATTATAGTCTAGTCATAGATTTGTGAATAAAAAAATGCAAACAATGTGTTTAACAAAAATTTCTAGAATTTAAATTCACGTAAAAATATATATTAAATGAATTACAAAAAAAAACACGATTGAAAAGAGAAAAGTTGATAAAAATTCAATACTTTAATAATTTAATAAATAATTTGTGATTTAATAATAAGAAATTAATTAATCAAAAAAGCAATTAAATTATATATACCTTAAAAACAACACTAAAATATTGAAAATAAAGTGAGAGATAAGAAATATTTACAGTAATTATAATTTTTTAATGTGCTTTTACTTATACACTAATACTTGTAATAGATTTAATACAAATTGTAACTTCACTTCATTATAATTGAATGAATGATTAAAATAAACTAAAAGAGTTGATGACTTGAAAATTTAATTAAATTTAATTATTTTTAAACCAATTCTCTATTACTGAATGAATGAATGATTTTTCAGTCATTCATTTGAAATTTAAGAGTTAATTGAATATAAATTCCGAAAAAACAACTTTTATCTACTCATTGAAGCGATTGTATGGATATATTTTGCGATAAAATACTAAATTATCATTTGATTTATTTATCACAGAATCGAGTGATTTTGTTATAAGATATATAATGAGATGTTTTTATGGGAATTTACGACATCTACTAGTTTTACGAGTCGTCTGTCTGTCTGACTGACTGTCGGTTCAATACATTTATGTAATCTATTGTGAATCAGAAGATAGTATTTTGAGATTTTTGTATAATTTTATTGTTATTTCATGTTAATATAATCGTAGAGAGAGAGAGAGAGAGAGAGAGAGAGAGAGAGAGA